TTAGAAAGAAGCCATCATGTATTGACCGAATATTTAAAGCATTACATAACTGATGAACATGATTGGGATAATTGGCTCGAGCATGCTATGTTTTCATATAATACTAGCGTACATGAGGGAACAAAATTTACACCGTATGAATTAGTATTCGGCAAAGCCGCACGATTGCCATCTGAAATAAAGACAGAAAATCCGGTAGAAACGTATGACGATTATGTGAGCGAACTTATTGATAAATTAACTGATCTAAGAAAACTAGCTGTGTCAAATTTAGGGTTAGCCAAAACACGTTATAAACACTATTATGATAAGAAATTAAAAACACAAACGTATAAAGTAGGAAATTTTATATATTTATTAAAACCTAAAAAGAAAAACAAGTTCGATGACGAATATACAGGGCCGTATGAAATTGTGGAAATTCTAGAAAATAATAATATTAAAATATTAATTCCACCAAATAAAATTAAAATCGTACATGTAGACCGAACTAAACCTGCTCGGATTGCAGATCAGGGATGAAGGAAAAAGAATACACAATTACTGGTTTAAAAGATAATCCTGGAATATTTTTCGAAGCCGTTGGAGAAATGCGTACGTCCGAAAATTCTTGGAAGATGATAATCTACATCGACTTGCGCGATATTAAAGGTGCAACGGCCAAACTCGAACAGCAAATGGACTCGATATTACAACAATGTGGTGATCACAATTCACATTGTGAAATACGACCACGATTGACTTCATTAATTGCCAAATTAAATAAGATAAAGCAGTATCAAGATCATATACGCGCACTCATAGGAGAATCCCGCACAAAACGAGCTCCCTTGGAATTTGTTGGACAACTTAGCAAGATATTATTCGGAACTTTAACCATCGAAGACGAATATGCCATGCGTAATGCAATAATGCATGTAGAGAATAAAACTAACGATCTCGCTCTGCTACTCGTGAATCAAACTGTAGCAACGCGAACGCGTTTCGGGGAACTGTACAACGCCACATGGGAGATAAGAAAGCAGCTTAGCGCAATAGAAATTAAAGCGATGTTAAATCAAAGGCATCGATATTTTTGGGAAGTTATGACAAAACTGGATACGGAAATATTACAACATGAAATAGATTTAAATATTCTGATTGATGGAATATTATTCGGAAAACAGGGATTCATCCACCCCCGTTTAATTTCACCGCAACAATTAATAGAAAATTGTAAGTTAATAAAAGAACAGAATCCTCATGCAGAATTTCCGGTAAGTACTGACGAAATCGGAATAGATCAACTTATAAAAATATCCAACTTACGAATTGCCTACTCCGGAAATCGATTGATTTATATTCTGCATATTCCATTATTGATTCCTGGAATATATAAAATGTATAGAGCCGTACCATTACCTGCTAAACAAGCATTTGACGAAACAAAATTCGCAATAATTAAATCTGACGCAGAACATATTGGAATAAGCGAGGACACCGATAGCTTCTACGAGTTCCGAGAAGGGGAACTGCGAGAATGCATATCGTCCAGCACCGTATTTATCTGCCCAGCTATATTTCCTTTGAAAAAGATACGGCAAGCGACAAGTTGTAATATTCAACTCTTACTAAATAAGAATATAGAAATGGAATATTGCAACATAGTATTACAAAACCTACGAGAAACATACTGGAAAGCTTTAACTACGCCCGGAAATTGGATATATACCGCAAGAAAACGAGAAATAATTCGTATAGAATGCCAACAAAACAACCAGGAAGAAATAAGTAATTCTGGCATTATTTCCATACGCCAAGGATGTAAAATTAAATCAGGGACTACTACGATGAGCCATCCATCCGTTCATTCTATAGAATTCGTACAGCATTATACTCCAATGAACAACCTAAGCATTTTACAATTGTACGAGCCTATCCGTGAAAAATATCAAATCGACCTGGCAGAAGCGACAAGCGAATTATGGACGATGAATAATAGCCACGTATCAACGACTTTTGATGACATCATTGAAAAGGCTCGCCAGATCAAGGATAGACGGATGCAAGAACAAAGACTTATCACCTACAGTGCAGTAGGATGGGGCATGAGTGTTCTCGGAATACTTGTGGTCATCGTCTGGATGATAAGCAGGACTTCTTGGATCAGCAGTACTGCGAATTTACTTTATGCACGATGCAACCGTAACAAAGGAACCAAGGGACCTACCCCTTGCTCCTCAGTAGAGAATAAAAGCCGAAGTACCGAGCCCGAATCCGAACAGTCTGACTCAAGAACAGCAACGATCCAGTATAATCTACAAGAAGAAGCACAGGAAGCAGAGACACACTGACGACTTGAAGACGTACAGCAATAATTCGTAAGTGACCGAACCACATGACTTCGTACCAAAATTTAGTCTTTGGTTTGTGCTCACTTCACAGGATGAGAAGGAGCAGCTATTCCACCAATCATTATAAACGTTGGCACAGGATATTGGGACAACTCCGCCGGATTATTTTAACCATGCCGGGAATAGACGAAGATGTACCTATGGACCTCAGCGCAGCGC